GATTTTGGTCACTTTCTAACAACCTTAAATCGACAATATATCAACGTCATTTAACATTGTTATTGAACATCAAAATAACGTTATCTTTAGAAGCTGGCTAGACGTTGAATTTTGGTCACTTGACATCACAACCTAAATGTAACCTAATATTAACATCCTATGACATTGTGTGCCTGCTAGGCAATAACTCAATGCACTACAGAATGTTACGTTTACACACATCCACAAATTACATGTAAACGCATCAGCTTTTCACAGCGTAATACTCACTACTCACTACTCTTAAGTACTTTTAAAAGGTCTACTTTTTACTTATATTTGAGTAATATTTACAACAGATACTTTTACTCTACTTGCACTAAAATGTTAGGCAAGTAATGGTACTTTTACTTGAGTATGATTTTTCAGTACTCTTTAAACCACTGGGTATAAGTGACATGAGTAAAATAAATTGACCATAGTGAATGAGTGTGTGTGGGTGGGTGTTTCCCCTTGCTGAGCTGTTGCTGGGAGGGCATCCACGACATAAAATGCCAGAGTAATTGGCAATTCATTCTAGTGTGGCGACACATTATAAATCAGGGACTAGGGTGAAGGATAGTAAGTGTTCATTCCTGAACTGTACATTAAATACTACAATATTCATTATACTTTTTCAAGATAATTGACTTACATGGAGGTAAACCTTCTAGACTTCCTCTCCTGGTTACTTTTCCTTTTGTTGATGTTGGTGAAGATTCTGCCATTGTTCTTCATCTCTACAGTCCTTTTCACTGATGGGCCACGGGATTACAATTTTTTTTTTACACAAATGCTCCTTTCAAACACAGTCTTAGTAAAAGACTCGGTGAACAATCTGAAATATAACCTCTTTAGATCCAAGAAAGTAAAAAGAACGTTACAACTATAACATGCATATATAAAATGTATAAGTGTGTATACAATTGATGCATTCAAAACTTTGCATAATTTGACTAAGTTCTTTAACGTGACTGAAGTTTATATGATGTTACATTTATTTTTCCATATGCAGTGCAGCAGTTTGTCAGCAGCCCTTTTACTTCTCGACTCTTTAGTCTTTATTTCACCTGACAAATGAAACGAAAAACTTTACTATATAATCTATCAAGTCTATTAAGACTGTTAATACAATTTGACAGCACTTCAGCGGAGTGAGAAACTAAAGCAGTTAAGTATTTGACACGATTAAACCTGCTTCTGTTCAACTGACAAAAGACCTTGAATTAAAGCACCTCAGATACCCTGATTCACCTCGATCAATAAAAGGTTCAGTTCAGTCTCTCATATTTCTCTTACCTGTGAGTGATAAATGTGTCCCCAATGATTTATAAACGGCTCAATAAATATAAATTTGTTTAAAGTTTGATCACTTCAGGCGATCACTCCATGTTGTTTTGGTCGCGCTGGTTTCAATTTCTATAAATATCTGTAGTGGGGTCACTCTCCTTTTTTGTCGCTGTATTCAGCACTCTGATTGATGCGCAGTGGACTTTCTCACTCTGAGACTCTTCTTCAGTGGAAGTATTGGACATTTTAATATGATTTTATGATCATATGATGCCAGGTGTCATTTCTGTGTGGAGTTTGCACAGATTTCACATAGTTTCCCCCAGTTAACATAACATGCAGTAGATTTATTGACTAAACGAAAATGCCAGGTACTGTATGAATGCAAGAGTGCATGGGTATTTTGTTTTTAAACTTTTTAAAATCATTTTAAAATGAAAAATAAAAGTTGCTAAATTGATTTCAATTATTGTAAAATAAAATACACGTTATCATTATATTCACATGCATTGGTGTTTAAAATACATTTCAATATATTAAAAGTATATAAGTATTATTAATGTAATAAACTGCAACTTCACTGTAATGACAAATATATATTTACTATATAATAATGTTAATTAAAATTACATTAAAGTGGTTTCAAGTTCAGGTTACCTGTAAACATATTTGGAATTATAATTTAACCATATTTCATTATGATATAGTAATTCATTCCCACATCAAAGGCTCAAATTCACTCTTAAAGTAAAATAATTTTTAGAGTTTACACTTAGTTGATGATTGATCATAAGCTTATTTGGCAGGCTGTCCCAAGGAGAGAGCCCTGAGCTCAAAAGATCCTCAAGCTCTGGGCTCCTTCCCGTTTGCAGGGTAAAGTCTAGATTGGATACACAGCCGGCCAGAAGTGTACATCATGATGTATATGTACATCAATTACATTTAGTAACATTTTTTATGACACTGTAACAATAATGAATATTTTTACAGTACTGTGACAGTTGGGTTTAGGGTTGGGTGTAGGCATTAAAAATATAATTTATTGGGTAATTTTATAGATAGCATAAATAATACTCGGTACAACCACTGTTTTAACATTACTGTGATGGTTAGGTTTAGAGTTGGGGTTAATAAAATACAATAAATGGGAAATTTAATTTAATAATATATAAATAATTCTTGTTAACTTCCGGCCGCAACCATGTGATCTAGCAATAACTCATTTGCAGGGAAATATAAGCTCAGGTAGATCTCGAGAACTCCCCCGCTAAATTGTGGATAATAATTATGTCAACACATCTGAATAATTGAGCATTTTTAAAGTATTGATTACTTCGGTTTACATTATGCTTGCATTACAAAGGCAACAATGCATTTATTTATGATTCCAGAGTGCTCCGTTTCACTTAGAACCATCGTAGTGGATGAAATTTATGCAAAGAGAGCGTTCGGCTCTTCTCTCTTAATAGATGAAGAACTGGTTTGTAAACATTAAGGATGCGTGCACAGCGAGGTTGCAGAAAAAAAACTGGGAGCGCATTTACAGCGAGGGAATGACATCCAATGCGGTATAGAATTTGTTGTATTAGAGATAAGGTATATTGATTACATATTATATATATATTATTTACACAATGCTTTCAGAGTATTGTACCAGCTTGTCACCCAGTGATAAGTACAGTTATTTGGCAAAATTAGCATTAAAGTGAGCGGCGTTCATCTGACAGGTGCATTTGCGATAGCAGCAGCTCCCAAGGGATATTGGATAAGATGAAATGGCCAAGCATCCAGCCTGAAATATACAACTCTCATGGAACTCCAAGTGATTTTACAAGAGAGAAGTTAAAGGCTTTAAATGCCTATAATGTTGTTCTGTGAGGTCATGTGCAAAAATAATGTTCCATGATTACCAGATTCAACACTATGTAGAGCTAAAAACCGAGATTCTGTCTAGCATAAGACAAGGAAAGAAGACGGAGCTGTACAAGGCCTGGGAAATCATCAGCAAGCAAAACAACTGCATTCTGACAGCAAACTACACCTGTACAGCAGGGTAGGTGAACGTACACTTTTACATTTTATTCTGCAGTGTCCACAGCTTAAATTACCATATTTAACTGTTTTTGCTGAAATCATGGCTGCACTCAAAGACGAGTAATGTGTATGATTCAGCATAGCGTGAACTTACCTGATATGATATGAGAACTGCATTGGAGTCCAGCATTTCTAATTAGGTCCTCACTCCATTCAGCTCTTCTGATGGCTGTTAGCCAAAGACATCTGCGGTTGACATTAAAAGCAGTGTGGTGTATGGTAAAATTCAAGCTTTCTATTTTTGGACTTTCGATTTGGCATCCTACCGCACAACACGACAAGTTTGCCATTGCAACCGGCATTATTTTTGCAACTTGTATGCACGGTTGAACCCGTGTGACGTCATGTGTGACATAGATTGATAATTCCCCTATTAAGCAAGAACAGTCAGTCGAGAAGAAAACAAGCAGACAGCAGGTAAACGCAAAGTGAACAGCGGGAGTGATTGGGTGCACACCCGATGCGGAAGAACACCCAGAAGGAAAAGGACTGAAGGAAAAGACCTGTTTTATTACTGCATCCGTATGGGACGCTTCTGGGTCTGGACACAGACCTCGATCCGCCAGTTAGTGACCACTGATGTAAGGATCTTTAAAACAGCAACAAAAAACAGAATTTGTTATGTTTTTGAATCTGTCTCAAATTAAATTGATTGTCTGTTGAAACACTGACAGCAATGCGCTGTGATTTGGCCTCACCTGTGCATTTGCGCTTGATCTCCTTCACTTGCCAAGCTGAAACACACAGAAACTCCACACGCACACACCGACACATGAGGAAACGTGATGTAAACAACAGATTTACATATTAAAGTTGCAGTCACACGAAATTCCGTAGTACGGCACTGCGAAAAGGGGCGGGATTAAACAAGATGATTAGACATTAAAACAGCGAGCGATTGGTCCATGTTTTAAATTTCTGTCCAGAGAGGTCATGTTTTGATCTTTGATTGGTCTCACGCAATCATGTGATGCGTCATGTGAGGTCAAAGTTTACCAAGCTTGAACTTTCCAATGCAGCGAACTGCAAAACTTGTCGCACTAGCTTGCGTTTCCGGTCTGATGCATTCGCATGTGTATGACTGAAAGTCTAAGGGGAGAAAAGTGCAGTGTGACCACAGCTTAAGAGGTGATTGGACAGGTCTTCACACGTGCAATGGATGGGAAAGGTAATCTGAAGTGTACAAAAGCGGAACTGCTTTGTTGCAGTTGTGTATATTTACAAACCAATATTAATAATGCATATACGGAAGAACAACGGGACGATTTTTACAGAGTACTGTTGCATCCCAAATGTAAACTCCACACAGAAACCTCAACTAGCCTAATAATGATTAGAACAGGAACGTTCTTGCTGTGAGACAACAGTGCTAACCACTGAGCTGCCGTGCCACCCAATCTAGGAAAAAAAGGTGGAGGGATAGGGGAGGAAGGGGGGATTCTTCAAGATGAAGATGACTGTGGTATCATGTGATAGCTAATGCGGGTCCAGCCGTGGTCAATCATAAGCACATGATCCTCTTGAAATTAGTTTATAAACTTCACTTATTTTAATAGAAATTTAAACTGGTACATTTAAAATCAATTGCAATTGTGAAACTGATGTATTTAGGTGTTGAAAAACATTACTAAACATTACTATAAATGCATACTAACTATACACTTCAAGAACACAAAATATTCTAAAACATCACAGAATTATTGTTTGGTTTATTCAGATGAAAATAGTGTTACTTTGTCAGGAGGTTAAGGGAGAAAACATTACTTTTCAGACATTAATGTTAAGATTGCAAGGTTTTTAATGATTCAAAAAACTCATTTTTTATTATCTCCTAGAGGTGTGATGATTAATGGATCCGAGTTATTACCATCAATATTACTACATGGGTTAAAAAATGGATAGAGTTTATCAGTGAAAGTCTGACCAGTGAAAGAGTAGATATGAGAGCTGGACTCCACATCATAAAAGGAGACCAAACCCTCCTCATAATCCACAAACACACCGACCCGCTGCAGCTTCACTTTCACAGACAGAGGTACTGAAGGACTAGCGAGAGCCTTGTATTCATTCTTCCTCAACCACACAGTCCAGAATCCATTACTGGGACAAAGTCTGATCTCTCCTTTTCTGTCTACAGATTCTCTGGCCACTCCTAGATCCCATTTAGTCTTTCCCTTCACCTGCACCTCAAAATAAAATCTCCCCGAGGAGAATCCCTCCTTTCCCAGGACGCAGACACATTTTTCAAATCTTTGTGGTTTGTCTGGGAGTTTCTGTATGATTTCTCCAAGTCTCACTTGCTTTTCATCTTTAGACAGGATGAGTCCAACATGAGCTGTATCGGGATCCAGAGTCACATCCACTGAGAAAACAAAGAATAGGAATTTCAGATCATTTCAGACAAAGATTGTCAGGGTAGTTCGTAATATTGAACTCAGTTTTAAGTCTGATTGTTGAAGCAGTGAGTGTATGAGTGTACTACTGTACCTGCATGCTTCTGCACCCACTTCAGCTCTTCAGACACTAATACCACAAAATAAAAGCCACCAGAAGATCATTAAGAAGGAAGAATCATGTTCAACATCATTTACTATCTGTGTCTCTGATATTTATGTGTCTAAAAACTACTGTGTGCAATAATGAAAATATATTTAAAGGTTCAGGACACCCTGGAGAACTTTTTGTGTGTGTGTGTGTGTGTGTGTGTGTTGAGCGTCAGTTAAGACAATGTTAGCACCTGTCAGTTTTAATTGTGGGGAAAACTGGGTAATTTTGAGCTTTTGTCAGCTAATTTCAGCTTCCAGGTTAAAATGATTTTTGGGGCGGGATCAAAATCGGCGACGTAGCACAGTACTACAAGTGCAATGATGACGTGTCGGTTTCTCATTATTATTCATAGCGGAGTTTTCTTATCCTATGAGAAGAGCCGGCTGCTTAATTATTCATGAGAGCTCATTCGCCGTGCTGCTGTGTTTGCCTAAATCCTCTATATTACCAGCAGGGCTAATGGTTAAAATAGGCAGGTCAGGAGACCTGCTCCGCTGTGTCTGCATTCAAGATCTAAAATTTAGACAGGGATCGAGGGAGAATCCTCATTTATAGTGTTTACATAACCACACTTATCTTTATAATGATATAAATTGTGGTTATGTGTATATGAAATTACGAATAACAAATGTAGCATGGCATTAAATTACTGTTTATTTCTTTGCATTTTAACTTTGTGAACTATAAACTCATGCGTCTGCTCACGATTTGTGTCTCAGTTTGTGAGCTAACTGTCAACAACAGTTATTGGCTCCCCTTCTCCCCTGCTGGCCACGCCCACTCCTGCCCGATGCTCGCAGAGCTCCACGCCCATTAATCATGCATCTTTTGCAAAAATTCTGAAGTAGACTTTAACCGAAAGTGGGGGGTGTCATGGCCCTTTAAGAGCATCTTTGTGACTGGGGTGACATGGTGACTCAGTGGTAAGCACTGTCGCCTTACAGCAAGAAGTTTCCATCGGGTGCTCCGGTTTCCCCCAACAGTCCAAGCACAGAGTCCAAACACATAGGTGAATTGAATAAACTAAATTGGCCGTTGTGTATGTTTGTGAATGAGTGTGTATGGCTGTTTTCCAATGCTGGGTTGCAGCTGGAAGGGTATCCACTGTGTAAAATATATGCTGGATAAGTTAGTGGTTCGTTCCGTTGTGGGTAGGGAACCAATGGCTCCGGAGCCACATGTGGCTGTTTGACCAAAAATATGTCTCTCTTCAGCTGAGTCCCTTCAATAATATTAAAAGTTTAAAAAACTATATCTGTCACTAGAAATCAGTTTCCTGTTAAAAATAAAATTATAAATCCCTTTTTAATTTATTTATACAGCAAAATTATTAAGAACCCAGTTTACAAAAAAAGCAGTGCTGTGGATTAACTTTAATCGCAACAAAAATAAACAGCAAACAACTTACATTTATATGGTGACCTCATGCATGTCAATTCAAACAACATTCATGATGGCAAAAAAGAAAGATTCTGTAAATTGTCCTTTCTTCATTTATGGACTTGCTCAACATGTGATGCTTCATGTTTGTTTATTCTGGAGTTGTGCAGGGAAATAAATAAGGAAAGGATGTAATATACACCTCAATGGCTCTTTAAAAAAATTGGCAAAAAAATTAGAAATGGCTCTTTGCTGAGAGGTTCCCGACCCCTGAGCTATGGTGACACCTGATAAATACAGGGACTCAGCCGAATGAAAATCAATGAAAGAATGAAGCTTTGTGACTGAGTCAATGCAGCTGAGGGGTCAGGGGTTTTTGCTGTATAGAGAATTATAAGGAGGCCACCGACAGTTGAAGGCAGAATTATTAGCCCCCCTTTTTACTTTTTTAAATATTTCCCAAATGATGTTGAACAGAGCAAGGATATTTTCACAGTATGTCTGATAATATTTTTTCTTCTGGAGAAAGTCTCATTTGTTTTATTTTGGCTAGAATAAAAGCAGCTTTTTATTTTTAAAAAAACATTTTTGGGACAAACTTATTAATTTTTTTTTGATAGTCTAAAGAAAAAACCATCATTACACAATAACTTCCCTAATTACCCAAACCTGCCTAGTTCACCTTATTTACCTAGTTAAGCCTTTCAATGTCACTTTAAGCTGTATAGAAGTGTCTTGAAAAATATCTAGTCAAATATTATTTACTGTCATCATGACAAAGATAAAATAAATCAGTTATTAGAAATGAGTTATTAAAACTATTATGATTAGAAATGTGCTGAAACAATCTTTCCTCTATTAAACAGAAATTGGGGAAAAAAATAAACAGGGGGTTAATAATTCTGACTTCAACTGTATATACAAGTATCATACCGCCTCTGACTTTCGACAAATAATTTTAGTCTTTGGCTTCATGAATGTCTTTTTTGCATAACAATTTATGTATATGCATATGATGTTTTTTTTTTTATTGAAATAATAATAATAATATTAATAATAATTCCTGACATTTATACAACACTTTTCTGGACACTTTACACATTTTTTGGGGGGGGGATCCCCTAATCCACCACCAGTGTGCAGCATCCACCTAGATGACACGACAGCAGCCATAATGCGCCAGACCACACACCAGCTGATTGGTGGAGATGAGACAGAGAATTGAAGCCAATCATGATATGGGTATGGTTAGGAGGCTATGATGGACAATGGCCAGTGGGCATATTTGGTCAGGATGCAGGGGTTAAACCCCTAATCTTTTTCGAAGGACATCCTGGGATTTTTAATGACCACAGAAAGTCGGGACCTCGATTTAACGTCTTATCCAAAAGACGGCGCTCACTGAGCAGTATAGAGGCCCCATCGATATACTGGGGCGTTTGGACCCACACAGTCTGCTCTCACTAACACCACTTTCAGCAGCTTTCCCATGTCTCCAATCTAGGTACTGACCAGGCTTAGCTTCAGTGAGAGTTGCAGAGAGCAAGCTGCTGGCTATGGCTACGACTAAATAAGTATTCCAGACTGTGCAATAATCCTAGATAACAACCGCTGAAACTAATAACAAAGGCTTATCTGGGAACTTTGAGTCATCTTGACTTACAGTGAAGACATTGAATTGATTTAAATGATCAGTAGGCGCTCCTACATTTTTCGGGCTTTGCTCCTAATTTAGTTTTTATATTAGAAGCACAAGTGCTCCCAAAAGTAAAAGAGCCCTGCACATACTATTATTTCAGCTCAGATTCATTGCTGATGTTTAGCAGTGATGAATATGTGTATCTGTGCAGCGTGTTCGATATTGACATACGAGTTTGTTCGAGTTTCTCCTCTATGTTGCCCTTCAGTTGGATGAGAGTTTTCCTCCGATTCTCCAGATTCTCATGAGTCTTGGCATTGATATCCGGCAAGCTTCTGCTGTCTGTAGTGCTGCACAGGGATGAGTAAATCTACAGCAGGAGAGAGAGAAGAGAAAGCCTTCAGCATGGGCAGTATTCTGATGTCTCATTGCTCAGAGAGATGTTGACTGACCTGTAGGAGGTGGAGGTGATCTTCAGTGTGTGAGAGCTGCTCCAGCTCAGTTTCTCTCATCTGTAACTCAGTGATCTCCTGCTCCAGCTCTTCAATCAGCTCTTCCTCCTGTTTCTCTGCTGCTTTCTGCTGCTCCTCCATCATCTCCAGCAGTTCAGTCTGACATCTCTCAATGGAGCGGATCAGATCAGTGAAGATCTCCACATGAGCTGCTTTCTCCTTCTCTGAGTTTATCTGCTCAAACAGGTCAGACAGAACATTATTAGTGGAGTTTACTGAGACAAGATTCAGTGTTACTAATGCTAATACTTTAGATGAGGGAAACCCCTAAACTAAAAGTTTAAAATCTGCATTATGGATGTATAGTGACTCGTTCCTTAATAAGTGTTTTTTTAACTAATATTTCTATAAAAATCATCATTATCTCACTCATATATAGCATCAACTGTGGTCAGGCCTGGATTAAGAATTCAGAGGCCCCTGGGCACAATATCTTGTGGGCCTCCCTAACTGGCCACTAAAGTTAAATTAAAAAATAAGATTCATATAATATTATTTTTTAAATAAAATAAATCTATAATGTGTTGCCCACATTTAAAAAATAAATCATATACAGTACATATATTTCTAGTATACAAAAATTTAATTTATTTTAAAAGCATTTAAAGCAGGGGTCACCAATCTCAGTTCTGGAGGGCCGGTGTCCCTGCAGGGTTTAGCTCCAACTTGCCAACACACCTGCCTGGGTGTTTCAAGTATACCTAGTAAAACCTTGATTAGATTGTTCAGGTGTGTTTGATTAGGGTCGGAGCTAAAATCGGCTGAACATCGGCCCTCCAGGAACAAGTTTGGTGACCCCTGATTTAAAGCATACTTTGAAAAAAAAATAAATAAATACTAATACTAGTGAAAATGAATGGATTTTAATATACTTAAGCTCAGTGAAGCAGTACTAAAAATGTATATTTAAGGGTATTTTTTATATGTAACTTCTATAAACTTATACTGCATATGATTTGGCTAACACCTCTCTAATCCAGTTCTATGAATCTGAGTCTTTCATAATACACAATTATTAATGAGTCCTACTTGTCTTCCTCATGATGAAGAGAAGGAAAAATCTGATATGTAGTGGGGGGGTTGTTTATTATGTGCTGGATTCAAACTGGGTTCATGATTAATCACGTCAAAACATGTTGCCATGCACTTTACAAGCTTCGCCACTCATGCTGCTGTCTGTTGCGCTCTTCTGTTGTCTTTCTCAATCAAACAGTGATGGATTACTCAACTAGCTTATTCCAACGAGGTGCGCCATTTGCACTTAGCTTAAATACACGTCAAAATCTGCATTCCCCCCCCCCCCCCCCCCCCCCGCAGGGGCCCCAAATCAGTGGCGCCCCCAGAAAATTATCTTAGGGGTGGCCAAGTAAGGCCACACCAAATCTTAGGGTGGCACACAAAAAATAATGAATTGTGTATTTGTTGTGAATAATGATGTTATATTTTTGTTTATGTTAAATAAATTAAGTTTTAATTAATTCAATTAATTACTCTTGAAATATTGCAACTTATTCCATGAAATAATTCAGCAAGTACATGTGCAAACTAAATAAAAAATAATATTTAGTTTAAAAACACCTTTCAAGTAAGTTATTTTTCACATACATTTATTGTACAACATACAGATATGCCATTAAAATGTCTACAATAATGAAGATTAATGAATAAAATAAACAAATAAACAAACTGAACAAAAGGCATTACTACAAACACACACACACACACACAAACACACAAACACACACACACCACACACCACACACCACACACACACACACACACTTACTTTATAGACCCTAATAATATAATTTATTCATTATTATTATTATTTTTTGAGCCACAATATATTAGCACATATTCTTCTCTTGATGTACCTTTTTGCAAAATACTCCCACAAAATCAGATTTTTGGCCCTTTAAAGTCAACCAGCGAAATAATGGAGTTGCTAAATAAACTAGATTCTGAAAAACTGATTTCAAAATGCATCTAGTAATTTATTTTTTTGCATTTGTGGTTTTCAATCAGATAAAACAACTTTTTATTTAAAAAATAATCATTTCTTAATAAAAAGTGTGCAATCTCAGTGAATCAGCTACGTCAGTGGCACTGATCAATCCACAATAATTAAGTGGCTGCAAAATATTTAATAATTTATTTATAGAAATATTGTGAAATTATGCAAGTAAACTTTAAATTAATAATATCAACAACTAAATCATGTTGGAGTGGCCAAAGAGGGCACCCCTGCCCCAAGTGCGCACAGCCACTGGGCCTGTACCCATAATGCCCATTGGTTAATCCGGCCCTGACTGTGGTGTACTAATGTAACTTGAGTGTTAAATCTCAGTAATAGACTGACTGAAAGTCTGGACACAAACACATAAAAACTGAAAGATCAAGACTCTTGGAGGAACACAACTAAATTATTTACAATATACATTTAACTTTAGTTTACTCACTTTTCTGTCTTCTGCTGTTTTTTTGATTTCTTCAATCTTCTTAGTTTTCTCCTGGATTTTCTGCTGCACGTCTATCTGTGTCAGTTTCAGTCAAGTGTATAGAGGGAAAACATTTTTAAGAGTGGATTATCTTAAAAGATTCCAAACATATTCCCAGTGTTTTGAGCGTTTACCTTCCTCTCGTCAATCTCCTCTTCTATACGAACAGTGATGTGTTCCTTGTGATCTCCTTCTAAACAAAACGGACACACACATTTCTCATCATCTCTACAGAAGAGCTCCAGAGGTCTGTCGTGTTTCTGACATATATAGTCCTCCAGATTCCTCACAGGATCCATCAGTTTGTGTTTCTTTAATCCTGCCACTCTCAAATGAGGCTCCAGGTGAGTTTGACAGTAAGAGCTCTGACACACCAGACACGACTTTACAGCCTTCAGCTTTCTGTCCTCACAGACGTCACACACAACTTCAGTGTTTTCAGTGGTGTTAATCTCAGGATCAGGTCTTTGTGTTAATGTATTTCCACAGAATGGACAGCTGATGGTTTGTTTGTTTTCCCAGCACTTATTCAGACAGCTTTTGCAGAAGATGTGTCCACATGGAGTGCTGACCGGATCAGTGAACACTTTCACACATATAGAGCACCGAAGCCTCCTCAGTGAATCACTGGAGGACAATGCTGAAAGAGAAACGTTGAAGATAAGAAGTTTGGACACACTTGAAACAGTCATGTGAACTTTCTCATCTCAACTTTCAAAAATTTTGATCTGATAAAATTAGATAACCAAATGTGATTATTTAGTATTAGGATCCCTGTCAAGTCAGTGCTGTTTATAAAGAAATCCATGATCCTTGATGTCCTCATGAAGCTGGTTGAATGTAAAGATTTATCAGTAACTAAAGTCAGAGTTGGTATACAGCTGACCTCACAGTAAAATAACCCAGCATCGTGCTAAATAATGATGACGGCCCTCGTTTTCTAATCATTTTGAAACCACTGGAGCACCTATGACTGTACTGCCAGGGCTCAACAATAAGGACTGCCCGGTGGTCCAGGGCTAGCGTGAGAGACACTTGGGACAGTAGACCGCATCATTACTGGCCCGATTGGGACAGTGCTGCCTTACTAACATTTAACTTGTCTGTGACTATTTGTCAATTGCGTGCATTTTAAGTTTGTGCTTTTAAGTCTTTACACACTACCTTCTCTGTAATGTTGTAAACAACATATTGCTTTCCGGTTCCTCTTATCTGATTGATTTGACTATGCTGATTTTTTTTGTAACCTGGTAACAACCAGTAAAGCGTAGAAACAGCAACATGGCGGCAACATCAAATTATAAGGCTAAAAGAAAATGTCTGTTTCTAACGTCTTGGCAGTAGATATTTACATGGGAACAACACAACAAAATAAAAATTAAGTGAGCGAGTTTGCCGTCAGTTTGACAAGTCAGCCACCTGTTAAATAATTTCAAACCGCAATAAAACACCTCCACATTTTCCATACTGCTCATTTTGTTTATATAACACTTTTATTTACAAATTTTTTTTAAGTATTAAAATTCTAGATTCACAGATTTTATTTTTGACACATTATTTAAAATATGTGGCTAAAAAATAGCTATTAACTTCCCCTTTTTTGGTGGGGCCAGTGAAAATTTTGGCAGGGCAAGTAAAATCTAAACCACTTGCTCGATCAGACCAGTAGAAAAAATCCTTAGCGTTGAACCCTGACTGCCCATCAATAAAAAAACAGCAGTATTACAGCAAAAAGCAATTAACTTACATGGAGGTAAACCATTTTGACTCCGTCTCCTGGATTCTCTTCTACTTGATTCTGGTGAAGATTCTGCCATTGTTCTTCACTTATTTTCACTAAGGGCACATGATGACTTAAAATTATCAACTTGAACTTAAGAATTAAATCTAAAAATTACAAATAAAATGCACATAAAACACATTTTTATTAAAATAATAATTTTTTATTCCCCTCAAATACTATTGCTTTGTTAAAGAACAGCGGAACCTTGAATTTGCTCGAATCACAAAATGAATCGTGCTCTACTATGTTTAGTATGTCAACAGTTTATATTTAATGAAAAAGTATGAGATGCGAGCAGACAATCTTGGAATATTGTGTTGTTGGATAATACCAACATTAAAGTGCCTAATGCAAGAATTGATGGTTACAGAAACACAACTTTGCTTTTAGGCAAATTCCTGGAGGGCCGCAGCTCTGCAGTTTTGCTCCAACCTTAATAGCATTCACCTAATCCAAATCATCAAGATGTTCAAGACTACTCTTGAACACCTTGATTAGTTGGAAGAACTTTGTTTTAATAAAGTTAAAGCAAAACTGTGCAGAGCTGTGGCCCTCCAGGAATTGAGTTTGAGACCTATGGTTTAGATCAGGGGTGTTCAAACTTTGTCCTGGAGGGCTAGTTGAAGTTTAGCTCCAACTTGACTCAACACACCTGCCAGGAAGTTTCTAGTATATCTAAGAGCTTGATTAGCTGGTTTAGGTGTGTTTGATAAGTGTTGGAGCTAAACTCTCCAGTACACCCACCCTCCAGGATCGAGTTTGAACAGTCCTGGTTTAGATTGAAGTACAAGATACAACTAAAATATTGTTAACCTGAGTAAATTGTGTCATTCTGCCCTCTTGTGTTTTCTATCTCTATGAGCATGTTTATAGTCAAAGAGGCAGATCAGTGTGATCATTTCCTGGAATCTTTGATTGGTTCTCTTCATCATCCATTCCCCTAATAGCCTCAAGCACATGTACTTCCTTTGCTAGTAACGTCACTGTGAGTGGTAGGTTTAGGCTCAATACCACTTCTACCCCCTCTACTCACCCATACCACTCAGTTTGCATGTTCACATGAGGGGATAGGGGGGTCCTAATTCTCTTTTGCTTGGAGGTGTATGGCTAAGGGGAAAGACCCTTTTTACCCCTTCAAATTAAGATTTTTTTAATGCCACACACATAGGAAGGGGTTTAAAAAAGTCCCTGAATACATCAGCTAGAGGTGGCTAAGTGGTTAGCACTGTCACCTCACAGCAAAAAGGTTGCTGGTTCGAGTCCTGGTTGGGATTTCAGTGTGGGGTTTGTATGTTCTCCCTGTGTAGGCGTGGGTTTCCTCCGGGGACTCCGGTTTCCCCCACATTACAAACACATGCGCTATAGGTGAATTGAATAAATTAAATTGACTGTAAGGTATGTGTATAAGTGTGTATATGAATGTTTCCCAGTACTTGGTTGCAGCTGGAAGGGCATCCGCTGTGTAAAACATATGCTGGATAAGTTGGCTAAGCCAAAGGAAAATGAATGAATGAATTTTAAATTCTGATAACACTGCCTGATGATTTGACAGAATTGACCAGTCTGTGAGAAAAGTCTGGTGGCAGCAAATTAGCTTTTTACAGCACGTAAAAAGCATGGATATCAGAATTTTTGAGCTAAAAAATAACAGCAGTCGTCAAAATACAGTGTAAAACAACATTGCGCTTTTAATTTGTAATTGCGAGGCGCACCTCTCACCCTTTTTGTGGATATTAGTAAAGAGCAGTGCACTGTGCTTTTTATGTAACTAGGCGACCAGTGTATCAACAGTCTTGGTGCTGAAGCTAGCAACAACATATGATACTGCGTGTGTAGCGAACATGTCTTATTTCTTCGAGAAAAACTTCTATTCCTATCCCTTAACTGTTTTAGGGACATATGGGAAGGTGTAAGGATATACAATAAATATGAATTGAGCCTCAGTGTTGAGGTTAATACACTTATCTATAATAGTCATTCCATAGAGCACAGGTGTCAAACTCAGTTCCTAGAGGGCCGCAGCTTTGCAGTTTAGTTTCAACCCTAATTACACACACCTGATCAAACTAATTGAGTCATTCATGCTTGTTAGTTACCTGTATGTAGGTGTGTTGAAGCAGGGCTGCAGCCTTCCAGGAACTGAGTTTGACACCTCTGCTATTGAGAATGGAAATGTGCCATTACAGTAAAAAAGCATTCTGGGTATTTAGGGTACCGAAGCTGGATCCTATTGAGCTCTATTGATTTTTTGTATCACATATACGCTCATCAGCAATAAACTGTAAGCGCTCACAAAGTAAGAAGAAAATTATTATGGTAAAGTTTTCTTTTGGCATCTCATACCGCCACGTACACATGAGCCGGTTAATTTGTTTGATGGAACGCACTTTCCCACTTCTCAGGAAGACAAAGAGCAATTATAAATGTATCTACATGTCAGTCCATTTTGAGTGTTTCTAAGTTGTGTTTTAAAAACATAATACTATAAAATAGATGTCTTTTTCTGTGGCTTGCATTGGTTTAGACCAGGAGTGCTCCAACTCGGTCGTAGAGGGTCAATGTCCTGCATAATTTAGCTCCAGCTTCCTTTAATACACCTGACTGGGAGCTTCTAGTATGAAAGAGCTTGATTAGCCGATTCAGGTGTGTCTAATTGGGGTTGAAACTAAACTCTGTAGGCCCTCCAGGACTGAGCTTTGGCACACCTGGTTTAGACTAACAAACTAAAGCCGCGGTCACACTAGAGTTTAAGCATGTGAAATTCTGTCATAAGGCGATGCGAAAAGGGGCGGGATTAAACAAGATGATTAGCTATTTAAAAAAATAGAGCGATTACTCCATATTTAAGGAGCCTTCAAATTTATTTTCAAATGAGAGTCTTTGTTGTGCTGCGATGACGCAGCGTACTTCGAATGCATCCTTCGAAGAATTCAGCCTCTGAAATGAGGCACAACTAATTTTTCACCACACCGCTCTGCCGCATTCGCATGCATATAAATGGAAGTCTATGGGGCAAGAAGTCCAGTGTGACCGGTTTTAATCAAGCCTGAATGACTCAATTAGTTTGATCGGGTGTGCTTAATTAAGGTTAGACTGTGCAGATCTGTGGCCATCCAGAAACTGAATTTGACACCTGTAGTTTAGATTGTGTGCTCTGCTGTATATTTAAAAACATTGTGAACTTGCCATAACGTAGATTCCCATTCTTTATGTCCCATTTTATATCAGGGGTGTCCAAACTCGGTCCTAGAGGGCCAATGCTCTAAACCATAGGTCTCAAACTTAAACTGTCCTGCTGAGATTTGCTCCAACTTGCTTCAGCACACCTGTCAGGAAGTTTCTAGTATATCTAGTAAGAGCTTGATTAGCTGGTTCAGGTGTGCTGAAGCAAGTTGATTAGGGGTTGGAGGTAAACTCCTAGACAATGGTCTCGAACTCAATTCCTGGAGGGCCGCAGCTCTGCACAGATTTGCTCCAACCCTAATCAAAAACAGCTGATCCAACTAATCAAGACTACTTCAAGACTAATAAGCAGGTGTGAGTGGGATGTGGTTAGAGCTAAACTGTGCAGAGCTGCGGCCCTCTAGGAACTAAATTTGATACCTGTAGTTTAGATTGTGTGCTCTACTGTATATTTAAAAACATTGTGGGCTCACCATGATGTAGATTCCCATTCTCTATATCCTATTCCATATCAGGGGGTGTCCAAACTCGGTCTTGGAGAGTCTGTGTTCTGGAGCACGTCTTAAACTCAATTCCTGGAGGGCCGCAGCTCTGCACAGTTTTGCTCCAACACTAATCAAACACAGCTGATCCAACAAATCAAGGTGTTCAGAACTATTAAGTAGAGACTATTAAGCAGGTGGGAGTTGGAGGTGGTTGGAGCTAAACTGTGCAGAGCTGCGGCCCTCCAGGAGACCATTATCCAAGAGTTTACCTCTAACCCTAATCAAACACACTTGAACCAGCTAATCAAGCTCTTACTAGATATAATAGAAACTTCCTGGCAGGTGTGTTGAGGCAAATCTCAGCATTAAACCAGCCCTCCAAGACCCAGTTTGGACAGCCATCCTCTATATATAAACATCAGTGGGTTAACAGCACGTGCATGAGGGCACAACAATACCACTCACCTGGCCTAGTGCCATGAGAGATTATGTGTAACATTACATGACTGCAGTTGTATCGCTGTATTCATCAGTTCAAACTTCGTAAACCTGACACACACACACACACACCCACGCATACTTTGATCCACATTCCAATCTGCTTGCCGTGTTCCTGAACATACTCTGCGAAAATACATTTCTCAGGTACGCGAGGGGGGTTTCCGCTATTTCATTTGTACATCCTGTTCAATGTGTTCGCTTCAGCGAGTCAGAACGCTTATCTATATTTTGTTTTCTTTAGTTTTGACATAGGTTGTACAGAGATAGAAAACCTAGAAGTTTTTTCTGAGCTTTATTTTTAGCTCCATGTCCCTGAGGCATTACACCCACTTGAAGCATTCAGTATATCCCTGGTATTCAGACTCGCTTCCTCACATCACAACTGACCCTTAGCAATCATAACAATATATTTACTATTATTTATAAATTATATAGACCATTTTGAGGGATGTAAACAAAACAAAGGTCCTAACACATTTCCTGTTTTACATTTTTAATGTCTATAACTTTCGAGAATCCAAAGAGCTGCATATTATGATTGAATTGCCTCTTATGAAATAGTGTGATAACATGCAGGAAATGTCCATGGGCTAATGACATGACCACATCAAAATGGTCTATATATTTATCTGCAGTTAGAGGATCATTTACTTATCGTTTTAGTCTTTAATTTACTCAACAAAATGACAAAAAACGTTGCTGTACAATTAATCAAACCAAGCAACCATAACATACATGTAATTCTGATACCATTTTAGTGCAGTAAACAACTTTACTTACCCTTAAGTGAAACCCATAACATACCATAACAAGATATAGTGAAAAAGGTAGAAACCCTGTAACCACTGACATCGATGGTAAACAAATACTACGGAGGTCAATGGGTACAGCCTTACAGCCTGCTTCAGAATACATACTACTGTGTTGAACAGAATACAGAAATCAGGTTTAGAACAAGTAAAAGCTTCATTTTTGGGTGAACTAACCCTTTAAATCTGCTTCTGTTCAACTAATTTTTTTATTAAATCATGGATTACTGAAACAGTTCAGTTCAATACATGTTAATATTTGTCCTACCTGTGTCAACAAGGGTTTCTGAAAGCCTCAATAAATGATCTGTTGAAGAGGTTGCTCGTTTCAGCCTGCGTCTGTGCGGTTGTAGATTCAAGTCATTCACAAATCAAGTTATTTCACTTTCTTTGGAACTCTGACTAAACTGCGGTGACATCAGAGCTGCTTCTGGATTTACAGCCTCATGTTTGTCTCTGCATTCGCTGTGATTGGCTTACGTTTGTATCTTCAGGGCCAAGAGGAACACAGATACTAAACGTCACATTTTAAGTGAGAATAATAATCTCAGCATTTGTTTTAAAACCTAACATTGATCCTAAGAACATATTAATTAAGATAAAGTCCTACGGAAAGACACAATGTTTAATCTATGAACGGTAAACCAAACAAACAAATCGACTGTTTTAAGTTTTATTCAAAAAACAAGATGGTAAAAATAAAACAAACATAAAAAAATGTACGATGTGTGAAATCTTTACATTAGCTACACAAAACGAAACTGAAAGGCATACGGGAAATGTTTGAATTCACTGATACATCATCCATGTAACGTCATAAATAAAAAAGATTCACGTGTAAAACGGGAATCTCACGTTTTCAATGTTTTTCATGCAACAACAGATGAATCTTAATATATCAGACTGACTTAAATGACACAAGAGCTTCACTACAGCCAGGAAAGAAGCCAAGAGTATTGGAGGTGAGGGAAAATCCAGATGTTATTGATGGTAGAGACCCGGAGCTGACAGAAGAGGTTTGGTTTGTGGGAATGAACAAGGCTGCTGGGGTCTGTTAGGCCGAATAGTCCTGTAGAATCAAATGTATATTATGTCATATAAAAACATACAGGTGCAACTTAAAAAAATAGGACATCAAAACTGAATAGTAAATGGTAAACTGTTATATTTTAGATTCATTACACATTAAATGGAATATTTTAGCAGTTTTTCTTCTGTTTGTTAGTTATAATTGTGATACTTAGTTTAAGGAAGACCACAAAATTTGAATATTTTTTTATAAGACAGAAGCAAAGTGTCACAAGAGAAGCGGAAGGATGACATTTATATTTAATTTAACGGAAAACATTTCCTCTTGGCAGCATCAGACTATGCAAATATGATCTTCTCTGATTGGTCTGTATTGAGTTCATCTGCTGCAAATTCCAATTCTAATAAGCAGTTAGGCATGGGCTGGTATAAGATTCTGATGGCATGATAACCTTAGATAAATAAATCACGGTTTCACAGTATTGTGATTACTGCTCTAAAATATGTTCTTTTTAAATGTCTGGGTAAAAACTGAAACTGTTTTTCCTCTTTGAACACAATAGATCTTATTTTAAGAAACATTTAAAATATTTTGGGGCAGTAAACATATCAGGCTAAATTATTCAAATGAATCATTGACTTCTGATGTCTTCATTAGTTTCCAAAACACATTTCTTCACATTTTAACATGACATTTTTGGAATTTTTTTTTTGCTAGAGATACTGTTGTCTTAAAGAACTAAAAATAAATTAATAAATAAAATTTATTTTTAAAAATCATATATATACCATAGGAACAGTATAGCAGAAAATGTTGGCGGTTTTAAAACATTGACTATTTAAAACCATGGTAAACCTTGAAAACGGTTATCGTTCTATGCCGATTTGAAGCCTAATACCAAACAGAAAAATGAATTTACTGTCATCTTTACAAATTAATTATCATCAGCTTGATTAAAAAGTATATAAAAATATAGGTGAAAACTACATACTGTATATATTTAGTGTATTCTAAATTTAAAAAAATTAATCTCAGTGACTAAAAATCACCCATTCCAAATATTTTGTCAAATGTAAATATACAAAATGCTGAATATACATACTATAAACATTAATATAATGGGCTTTCAAACAATAATACAAGATCAAAATATGTTTGCTAAATTTGACAATTTGAAAATTATACAATTTTACAAATGATGTGTTTATTTAAACAAACAAAACTTTGCAATAAGGTTGTATCAGTTAAAGGGGACCTATTATGCAAAAGTCACTTTTATAGACCATTTCAATGTGGTCATGTCATTGGCCCATGAACATTTCCTGTTTTTATCAAACAATTTCATAACTGTAACAAGAGGCAATTCAGTCATAACGTAATGTTAAAACAGCTATCATAACTTATCAATATGTGTCTCTTTTTAGATTCTCAGAGGTTATGGAAATTAAATGTGTAAAACAGAAAATATGTTGGGACTATTGTTTTTGTTTACATCTCATAAAATGGTCTATAAGGGGTTTAAACACAGTTGTGTGGCAGCAGTCTGTGAACACAACCAGCTTCTAATAGTAAACATTCACTAATTTTAGTATTTTATAATCAGACTTGATGAAAACAGTCTTCAGCAACACTTTGATTGACATTCTCCCTTTGTACGTGTCATCAGAGGGGGAAAGCCCCGCCCATTAGTGACCATCTCTCCTCATTAGCATAGAAAAATAAGGTGCATTCCAAATTGCATTCTTATGACTATTCTACGCCATTTTGTAGTATAAATAGTGTAAGTAGTGCACACTGAAAACTCTGAAAAGAATAAGCGCATTTTGAATATTATTATTACAACTTTTTTTGGTTGTTTAGTCATTTATTTCACTAATTTGGCAACCGTAAACGTTATCTGATAAATAGTTCCGCTTAGTTAAAAAAACAAAAGGACATTAGTGTTTCATTTGGGACGGCACTACATTCATATACTATGCTGATGAGTGTACAAGTGCATAAGTACATAGTGGATAAGAGCATACTGTATAGTGTGCCATTTGGGACGCAGCTTTAGTCTTGTTTTTAAATCTGCCACTATGCTGACACACAGGCATTTGTAACTCCGCCCTCTTTAGAAAAGAGCACAATCTCATTTGAATTTAAAGTGACAGTCAACCAAAACTACACAATTATGATCAAAGCCTAAAAGAAGGAGTTTCAAAGAGTTATAAAACAATATTTGTGTGGTATTTTGAGCTGAAACTTCACATACACACTCTAGGAGCATCAGAGACTTATTTTAGATCTTGTAAAATGTGGCATAATAGGTCCCCTTTAAATGTATGAACGAACAATGAACTATAGATTTCCTACAGCATTTATTTATCTTTGTTAATGTTATTTAATAGTGATTAAGTTATTAATTAATGGTTAATTTTAACTCACACTGCATTAACTAATGGTAACAAGCAAGAATTTAGACAATGCATGAGAAAAATGTTAATTATTATTATTAATAAATGGTGTACAAGTATTGATTATTAGTAAATAAATTAACTAATAAACCCTTATTGGAAAGTGTGACCATAAAATCTATATCCCTAATCCATTATACAAGTAAAACAGAAGTACACTTGAACTTACCGCCCTGGGTTTCTTGTTCATCTTCATATCAAATCTGTAAAAAAAAACATAATAATAATTAATACCTACTTAAATAATTAAGCAAGTGTCCCATCATGGTCAGCAGTCTAAATCCCTGCATGCAATTAACACAAAACCCCCAACATGTCTAATATGAACTCCACGAACATGCAGCTGAAAATGAAGTGTCAAAACCAAATAAACAACAGCAGCAACATCTGTGTCTGATCAGGCGGAGGCAGCAAACATCACAGCATTGATCAGACCCTACACAGCTAACGGACAGAAGACACAGGAGAAAGACGGAGAGAGACAGCAAGTAAAAAACAGACTTACTCAAAGTCATAATCAAACATGCCAGAGGGGCTGAAGGGGGCAGCGTTAGGAAGGAAGAGAGCATTAGAGGTTAGTGCACTAGACTGACCTGCACATCAAACCCACTGCAGATTACATAGGGTGTGTTAATATTATACCCTCAGCAGTGCACTAGATGAACAAGCACAGCAGGAGAGAAACTAAAGCATCCTCTATAGGGAGAAAGTGAATATCAGATCCTAACTAGTGTTCAATTAATACAATTAGAAAGTGTCCTGAATAAAATGTCGCTCCATTTCTAAGCAATAAAGAAATCCAAGCAATATATTTGTAGATTTTTTTTAATTTTTTAATTTATTTTCATTTTTTTACAGCATTTAATGACTTTTTAAATACATAAAAACTCTCTACAGTCAATAGATTATATGCTGAAGCATGCTAATAGGACTTTTAATTTGCCAGTAACCTGGATTAAGGGCTAATACCAATGCAAAAACTGGCGCGTTTAAGGTCTGTTTTCTTTAAAAATCAGCGATCTCCACTAGCTGAGTGATATCTGATATAAAGTGGGACTCAGATTGTAAAAGCACTGCATTAAATTACATTTCCCCCGCCATGTCTTTATAATATGAGCATTTATTTTACCCCATTATATTTAATGGAGCTTCTGCGCTAGCCTGCCGATTCTGACGGGCGCATGCAAGTAAACGGCTTTTTGTCTTATTTTACGCTTGAGCAACTAAATGAATGCCAAAGTGTATTTAACTGAATGTATTTTAATGACATTACAACATCAATGCTGTAAAAAGAACCGTATAAAATGGAAAAAAACTCACAATAACAGCTCACTGTTACCGGAATTTTATCAGTATTGGAAAAAACACTAGCTCGGCATATACCCTATTAACTAACTTTAAAAAATATATACATATATTTTTTTTAATTATTAGTCATTATTTTAAAAGATCATTATTTATGGAGCAAAACACACAAGACAAAACAGAGCTACAATTGATGTGCTAATTGAATATTTGCTGACTGTAAATGGACCTTATTTTGTCAACAATAAAATTAATACAATAAAAAAAAAAATATTTAAAACTATAATTTAAATATACAATAATAAAGTAAGATTTTTTGCTGATTTTTTAGCAAATTGCACAGTTTAATAAAGGTTGATTTTACTCATGGAATTCATTAAAATTATAATAGTTTTATATTTTATAGTTGTATTATTTTATAAAAATATAACATTCCATTTTACTCACATTTGAGGACATTTTTAAACTCTTAATATATTATAATATATATATTAATAATATATAATAATATATTGTACTAATTTTCCATAATACAACATCCACACTACCTGACTAAAGACTTGTCGCCTATACAAGATTTAGGACGCTAACTAATGACTTCTAGTTGTTCATTTGGCATTTGAAGTGGCTTATATAAAAGGCAAAGGCCTCTAGATTACGCTTATTTTACCACAATAAAATATGATCATGCCTTGATTTTAATCAATTAATAAGGACAGTAAGGTCTGACTTTGCTCAGACAAAAGTC